ATTATTGAACATTAATATCCCGTGCAAGCAAAATATTGCTAAGGATCATTCAAAAGCAGCTGTTGTTGTTAGGAGCCGCCGAGTTGAGCACAACCCTATGAACAAAAGATCTGAACTCTGGTCTATCCAGTGTCATCCTCAAATTCCTGACACACAAGAACCCATTGCGGCAGTCACTGTGTCAATTCACCTGCTTGAGGGTCTTCCTCTCCTTCCCTGACCCTTCACCGTTCCCAGCATCATGTCCTTCTCCAAGAAATAGCTCCTCCTAGCAACATGCCCAAAGGATGTGAAGCAAAGCCTCAATCTTGCCTCCAAAGAGCACTCTGGTTTCACCCTCTCCAAGACATATCTGTTTGTTCGTTTGGCCTTCCATGGGATGCTCAGTGCTCTTCTCCAACACCACACAGCACTAAGGTATCAATTCTTTTTCTGTTGTCCTTATTCATTGTCCAGCTCTCAGATGCATAGCAAGTGATAGGAATGACTATGTCCTGAATTAAGATGCACCTTAGTCCTCAAACTGACATAATTACTAGTCAATAGGTCCCTAACTGTAGATTTTCCCCAGTGCAATGTGTCACTTATTTCCAGACTACTGGTACCAAGGTTGTTGATTGTGGATCCAAGTAAGATGAAGTTTTTGTGTCATTTGCATAACACAGGTTATTGATGAGTCTCTCCAATCCTGATACCACACTCATCTACATAAGGTCCAACATCTCAAATAAAAGCAGCTAGTACAGTACATAATCAGGGAATTGCCAGAAGTTCAAGCAGGGTTTAGAAAAGGTGGTGGCACCAGGGATATCAGTATTGATGTCAGATGGATCCTAGCTGAGAGTAAAGAATACCAGATGAATGTCCATTTAAGCTTTATTGACTCCACAAAGGCATTTGACTGTGTGGATAATAACAAATTATGGCTAACATTGAGAAGGATGGGAATTCCAGAATACTTAATTGTGCTCATGTGAAACCTATACCTAGACCAAAAGGTTGTTGTGCAAACAGAGCAAGGGAACACATGGTTTAAAGTCAGGAAAGGTGTGAGTCAGGGTTGTATCCTTTCTCCTTGCTGAGAAGCTTATTTGAGAAGCTGGACTCTATGAAGAAGAATGTGGCATCAGCATCGGAGGAAAACTCTTCAAAGACCGACCTGCATTATGCAGAAGACACAACCTTACTTGCTGAAGATGAGGAAGACTTGGAGCACTTGCTGCAGGAGATCAAAGAATCAATATGAATGGCATTTCAACGTCAAGAAAACAAAAATCCTTGCCACTGGACTGATAGGCAACATCATGATAGATGGAGAAAAGATTGAAATTGTCAATAACTTGATCTTACTTGGACCCACAATCCATGCACTCGGTACTAGAGTCAGGAGATCAGGAGATGTATTGCACTGGGGAAAGTCTGTAGAGGAGCAGTGATGTTGTCAGTTTGAAGTTCAAGGTGTATTTGATTCAGGCCATGGTCTTCCCCCACCCCAACCTCCCAGTCACTTGCTATGCTACTGAGAGCTGGACAATGAATAAGGAGGACAGAAGAAAAGTTAATGCCTTTGAATTGTGGAATTGGAGAAGGGTGGCGACTATTCCATAGACTACCACAAAAACAATCAGAGGTGTCTTTGAAAAGGTGCATTCCGAGTTCTTCTTGGAGGCAAAGATGATGAAATGCCCGACCTCACATATTTTGGACATGTTGCTAGAAGAGGCTATTGGAGATGGACATTATGCTTAGAAATGTAGAGGAGGGGTGAAAGAGACGAAGATACTTGATCAGGTGGATTAATATGGTGACAGCAGTCATAGGCTCAAGGCAGAAAGTGTGAAGATGGCACAAGGTGGAAAGAGTATCAGATCTGTCACCAAGAGTTGTACTCAACTTGATGGCATCTAACAACAACAACAACCCCTTCCTGATGCACCCACCATTGTGGGTCAAAGTTTCTCCACCTTTGCATTTCCTCCAAGTCAGGCATTTCCTCCTCTTTATTCTTTGCTCTTCTCCAATACCACAGCTCAAAGACATCGATTCTTCTGCTGTCATCCTCCATTCACTGTGTAACTTTCAGACCTATAAGAAGTTGTTGAGGGAGCTCTGGTGGCCTAGTGGCAAGAAGCTGTACTGCAATCCCAGAGGTATGCGGTTCAAATCCACCAGATGCTCTGCTGGAGAAAGGAGGGGCAATCTCCTCCTGTACCAGTCAGATCCAATTTGATGGTACACACACAAAAAAATAATAAAATAAAATAAAGAAGTAGTTGAAAAGATCCTGGCTCGGAATGGGTACACCTTGGTCTTTAGACTGACATCCTTACTCATTAGCACTTTGGAGAGCTCCTTGATAGCAGACTTCCCTTAAGCAAAAATGTCACTTCATTTCTTCTTCTTTTTTAAAAAAATAAAAAATATTATCTATTAGTCAAAAGGGGGACTATGGTTCCGCAGAAGGTAAGACGGGTCCATTCTACAGCTCGACATACAGTTTTTCTCAGAGCTCAAGAGAATTCCAAAGGCCTCCGGCCCCAGATGCTCATGGCCCCAGACGCTCATGTGTGCCTGTTCCATTTCTGGTGTTTTGGTTGTGGAGGGTCTGTGGACGAGGCCTTTCTGAGTGTGGTCTCCCCTAAAGGCCCTGCAGCAGCTGGCTGAGGAGGGCGAGGCTGCTGTCTGAGCACAACTCAGTGGCGGCCTTGGGAGGCAGTCTCTTTGCATTCGAGCCCCCACCACCTTGGCCCCATCCTCTCCACTTCTATTTGGGATTGGCAGCTTTCTTGTGTAGCCTCCTTTCTGACGTTGGAATCGAGCACGTTAAACAGCTTTGGAATCAAATCCTCCATCAGCCAGACATCAGCCATAGGCAGGGTTCTTTCGCGGGTGTCCCCCACAGTTAGTAAACTACACGTGGCCTCTCATCTCGTCCACGCAGGCCCTGGTGCCTTGATGCGTCCGTGGTGCATGAGTCCCGTAAGTGCCATAATAGGTAACTCGGGGCTCTGGACCAAGGCCCAGGAAGCAGAGCAGGAGGCCGTGAGAGACACCACAGGGTTGACCAGCAACCGCATCTTCCGAGGTCTCCTCCCCGTCTCTTACTCCCTGGCTGGCTGCTGCGATCATGGGGATCCAAAGGAAATGAAGTTATCAACAACTTCAATCTTTTCTCCCTCTATCATGATGTTGCCTATTGGCCCAGTGATAAGGATGTTTGTTTTCTTGATGTTGAGATGTAATCCAAACTGAAGGCTGTGGTCTTTGAGTTTTCTGAAGCCAAGGATCTGTCTGGGTGCCATCATCAAATC